TTACCTTTCTTCTTTCGAGGTATATAGGGAGAAAGCACTATGCTTGTTACATAGCTACTCTTGGCTCTATCTTCAAAGTTAGGCAGTCCTGGCTCCTGGTGATCTGCATCTCACCATTAACTTCATAAAAAGTAAGTCGCCAAAGTGACTACATAATAAAGTGTAAGGAAGTCAGAGGTTCCAGCGGTTGCTAACTTCCGGTTTTTTCCTATCCTTTATGTTCTACAAGAGAGGTTTAATGCCACGCAGTTAAAGTTTTTAATTAATTGAAAATTTCTGATCCAGTTGTTTAGTTTACCTAATTAAGTTGTAGTTAATTTTTTTGCTGTGACTGAACAAAGAACAAAATATTTAATGTTGTTCCTATACGTAAAATGCTGCTGTAAGACAGCTGACGTTTAGGCACACCATAGGCTGTTTGAAACATAAAGACCAAAAATTTAGAGGTCGATGTGCCGACCGTTAAAGTCTTCCCCGGACCAAATTACTGACCGCAGTCTTCTTCTATGCTCTGTTCTCATCATCAGTTTTTTAGTTGAGTACGGTAAAGTAAAACGGCCGCGATTCTGGCTCCATTATTATCTGCGAGGCTTTTTTTCGCTTCTTTGCGCGGACATCCGCCGCCGTGCCAGCCTTCGCCTGGCTCTTGATTTTTCACGTGTGCAAGCCGACCTGGCCTAATGATGGTATTGACTTCCTGGTGTCGCTCGACGACTGGTCTCGCAGTTAGTACACCTGCGGCGGTGATTGTGATGTTGCTGTAGTCAAATGTGCACATTTGCTGATTAATTAATTAGGATGCCGGTTAACTGACTAATGAATTAATCGTTACTATTTCGCGTTCATTTAAATATGCGTCATTTCAGCGCCGGGATTGGGTTAGCTTCGGCTACCATGCTACCGACGAGTATGAGGATTGGAAGTATGCGCACATGGTCGGCTTCGTGTTTTTCGGCATGATTTTCCCGGCGATGGTTTTCATAGGACACTACAAAGTGGATTGGTAAGTGATGTTTGGCGAATCCGCAACTTTTTCTAACTTCTTTATATGCAAATAGGTCAGATAATATAATCAGTTCTCCTTATGCTTTCCCACTTCAAACCTGTTGCTCGATCTGCGCGTGAATTCTTTAATGAGGCATAGCTGCTGTACTTAAAATAGTCAAGATGGTGTGACAACCTCAGGTCGCTAGCCAGTAACATATTTAGATGTACATACATATTTCAAATTCCTAGTCTGTTCCTACCTTCGTTGTCTCGGAAAGGTACTTTGACTTTAAATCATGATCGCTGTTTGGTTTTATCTTAAACAGGTCACCATAGGCAGCCGTACAAAGTGGATAAAGGTTTCGAAGACGTAGTTGTAAGAGTCATCGGAACACGCAAGCTTCTCCGTTTCACAGGATGACCGCCAACAATGAGATGACTGATTTCAGTAAGTTGGCGCTCATTCGTTGGATTCTTTTTCTAGCAGATCGTAATCCTAATACTAGTCTAAAGTGCATTCAATGAAGTTAACTGTACTTGCTGATGCATATGCATATCTGCTATAAGTTGGTTCTTGCACGGGAGTTGCTCTGAGCATAAAATATTAATTTATTCGTCTTTAGACTTATCCTCGTTAGTGAGGTCATACGACATTGATCGCACTGGTCACTGAAAAGATGACCATTAAGGTGATTACCTTCCTTTCTTCGGTGGAGCTCCACAAGAGGAATGAGTTGATGACAGCCGTTGTTTCGGTCGTACTAGGTAACGATTCCGTTGTTGATCCTTCATCAGCCCTTAACCATTGGGAGGAGAGATATTTGCACATTCTGCTTTGTTTTATGAATGAAGCAGGCCTGACGTTAACAAAGAAACCAAGCGCGATTCCTGAAGTTTCCGCCCTAGAGTTCCTTTTCTGATTCAGTGCAAGCGATCGATCGAGGGAGATTATTGTAGCAGCTGAGTCTGAAAATGATGGTTTCCGTCATACTTTGCTCTCGTTCTTGCGCTCATTTCACATATATGATACCGGGTAGCCGTAATCTGTATGAAGTTCTGCCCCCGGATTTTTCGAAGCACGATGTGGGTACGATTACGCCGATAAGTCTATGTAACTCTTGACATCGACCGTAGAGGCTCTTCCACGAAATTGGCTTTAACAAAGAAAGTGTAGATGCAGGGCAGTGTACATCATTGTCTGCCAAAGGTGGTTGCATAGGAACGAAAAGAAATGACATGGAATGCGTAGTATTCTTGCGTCTTGGTAGGCCACGTCATGCATTCTTTTGATAAACTCGTTTGCGTGAATGAGATGTCTGAGTTGCTGATTTCTTATGTGAGCCTTTTGTGTTTTTCTATCGGCAAGTGACATACGGTAATGGCGAGTATAATCCAGTACTGCATAATTTCAGCAAGCGATTCTCACGCTGATTTGAAACCTGATCCAGTCTGTGTTCCAACTGGTAACCCGTTGTGGTTAACTTGTGCTCCACTGACCTTGTTTCAGAAGTCGGAACTGGCTACTGTTATGAGCTGTATTGTTATGTCTGTATGCCTCTTTGAGGAAGGCCTTCGTTGCATCTTTGATGGCGTCGTCGGGTAGCAGGTTCTCGGTATATGCCATACAACTTTAGTCCGGAAGTCCGAACAGCTCTGGCGTCATTGCTTTATTCGTTGTTTATTTTTAGCGGTAGCGCTTCGTTCTCTTTGTAATTCTTCTTACTAAGCAAGATATGTTTCCGTGCAGTTTGTTCCTGATGCGTACTGCAGAATGTTTCGTATGTCAACTTTTTTTCTCTTTTCTTTCTTGTTCTACCTGTTGGTATCTTTCTAGAGCTTCTGGCTATTACCCATCTTCCAATATTTATTGCTTCCATGTAATAAGCATGATCCTGAGGGTAGACAAGTCCAATGTAGACCACACATTTCACTTTGTGTGCTTCCTCGCTTTTTCCTCATGGTAGCGATAAAGTTCGTATCTGTCCATTCCTTGCTATAGCACTGCCGTGATGAACTCTGTCTTTCTGGAAGTACACAGTGTTTTGGCATAATTCAGAAAGTCAGCGTGGATAAAATGGTGTATATTTTTCCCTCGTGATTTTCTAAACGAGTCTTCAGTGTTAAATTATTGTGGGAACCATCAGCTGGTTTTATGACCTATACATAACTCGTAACAATTGGATATCAGAGCATATATCGATTACCTTGTTTCGTTAATTTTGTTTGTTGAAGTATTACTGTATCAGTAAGATAACGAAGATGTCAGTTTTATGGATAATGAGTAGATTAGCATAATGTACAGTAGGAAAGAGAGGGAAAAGAATGTTTGTAATCGTTGGAAGATGGGTTCTTCTTACAGTTTCACGATGAAACCATTTCAGGCGTCCTACCTTTCGATAAATTAAGGGTGATGATCTTCATTTCCATTTAATCCTCTAGAATAGCCTTGTCTTTAAAAGGAGACTAGTTGGCAGCTTTGCAGCAAGCGTAATGTTTTTTTCCTGTTTCCTTCCCATAGATTAATGCGCATTTATGAACCTCGAAACGAAGGAAGGCAATTAACCCGACCGCAGCTGAACCCGAGATTTCTCAATTCTGAGCCTAACACTCTGCCGATTGAGTAACCTGGGTTTCATTTTTAGTAGAGATGACAGTGACTGCATGATACCTGGTCTATAATAGAAAATATAAATGAGAAATAGCGGCAAAGTAACAGACTGACAAACTTTATTATTCATCGAAGGAGCTTAGTTGTTTACACCTCTTTACCCATAAAGATGTCTGAGAAGGCGAACTGGCGCCGGGTTTTAAAAAAATCGTTGTAACTTTGTGCCGAATTACATTACAACATATATTGGCTCTATTGGAGTAAACCCGTGACTGAAATTATGAGAATTTGGAGCGTAGGGAATGGGCATGATTCATGAAGATGTTAGCGATGATACGCATGCTGTCAGACGTTGCTTAGTCAAAAAGATAGCTAATCGGTTTTGTCAAATGTACACCCTGCATTCTGGGTACAATCTTCAATGGCTACCTTAAAAAGGACGGGAAAGAGTACTGTTGCAAGAAATTTAAGCATCGATATACATAAAAACAAAACCCGAAATTGTATGTTATGGAGCCTGCTAGATGCGCAGTCGTTTTACTTAATACAAGGCTCTCTGAATCTTATAAGTCAAGCATTTCCAGTAAAAGCTTACTAGCTTGGTGTCCTGCCAAAGGCGCGAAACGGTGTCGTTTTTTTCTTCAATGACCAACGTATCCGGAAATGTTTCTTAGGCACTGTCTCAGTCACTCGAGTACAGCGACGCTAGTTTCGAGCTCTGTCTGTGCTTGGTCGCCCCGTATAAGAAAGGTGGTTAAATTCGTTTACATTCCAGTTGTTTTTTGTTAGGCCATGGTAGAACTTTCTTCAGCGAGTATGATCTGGTGGAACTGTTGTTTCGTTCTGCGCGAGAGCTGAATAAACACGGATTACATTTCAGATCAATAATAGTCAGAAAAACTCGACAGTAAGATAATCACTGTTCAGAATGCCTGTTAGGTCTTGCAGCATATGCTGCAGTTTCAATTTCAAGCATGCTTTTGAGCTGTCATACAAAGCCGTTCACTCTTCCTGTACTTTACCATCTGTTTAGGCCTAATTTGAGAGAGTGGGCATTCCGCGAAGCGTACATGGAAATGGAACGAAGAGAGAAGCTGGGGTTGCCGTATATCAGCAAAGACCTGATTGATCCGGAAAAAGTGAAGCTTGTTTTACCGACTGACGAAGAACTGGGTGACTTCGAAATCATCGTTTAGAGTTAAAGCTGATGCTACCAAAAAAATTGTTTTAATTTCTTTTAAATTTATGATTTTTGTGATGGTATTTTGTAGTTAATTTAAAGCTTAAATTTTAAAGCCAAATTCTTGTTTGCAGTTTTGCCTCGGCGATGCCGTGCCCTCTTCGTATTAGTTCTCGTTCGTAGTTGTTGTTGTAAACGTCGTTAAACCCTACCTGTTTGATGACAATGATATATCTAGGAATATTGTCCAAGATTGGAGTAGCTTTCAACTTTGCTCACAATTATGTTTCTTGTTGTTGTTCTAGTGCGTGTTTAACTGAAATAGACACTTAGAAACGCTCAGAACGTAAGGAACGATTCTTCACTGAGGTATACGTGCAAGACTTTAATAAACTGTTTCCACGATCAACTCTATGAACTGGCGAACAACGTCTGGCAGCCAGGAGTTAAACTGATAATCGCGTTAAATAATTGCGGTTATGTTTTGTGATAAATGTGTGACGTGTAAAAAGTGGTTATTGAAACCAGCAAGGAACTGCCAGTGGTGTACATAGAATGGTGAAGATGTTTGCTTGTTTAGGACCTTGTGTCGCGTTTTTGTTTCGCTGAGCTGCTGTCTACACGCACTGCTAGGTATATGTTGATAAATTAGTACACTGTTGTTGCTAGTCAGTTAAATGAACATGTACAGTGTGATTTTCTCTTTACTATTGTGTACTCTGATATCGTGTGATATTAGAGGACCTTGAATTTTGGGTTATTGAATTCGCAGAATGATGGCTAAATGCCCAATGTTAGGTTTTATCTTGTTTGGTAAGAATTTGTGTATTTTTGTTTATTTTGTATTCCTTTCAAAACTGCTACTGTTGAACTTGGCGAATTACGTATCTTCAGCGTTGGAACACTTTGCACCGTTTGCTAAAGCGGAGCGGTCATCGACCACGTTTCGGCGGTCACCCAAGAGCTCGCAACGCTAAGCAAAGTTGGTTGATGCATATTTTGGTACAGAGCCTTTGTTATGTTTCATATACGATTTATTACCCGCTTCTGACTGTTCTGTTTTGTTCTGGTTGGAGATTTCCATAATTTAAATATTTCATGCTTTCTCACCCCTGCATATGGTTTATTAAATTTAACATCGTAAGAGCTCAGAGGCCGTTACTTAACTTCGTTTTATAAAACGGTGCAAAAGGGAAATTTTTAATAAACTATCATATGCAACCGCCCCAATTTCGTGACTACGCGTTATCGAACACCCAACCTTTACCATGCGACTACAAAGAAGTAAACCCATAGAATTCGAAAAGTTACAGACGCGAACCCCCTAAAACACTGCTTTATATCTGTCTTAAGTTGGCGCCTCTATATTCACTGCTGAGATCGGAACAGCCTTGTGTTTTGTGAAACCAAGGAATATTTACCGCTGACGACAGCTGGCGATTGTACAAAACATTTCATATAACGAATCTAGTATCACAACGTGAACGTGGCTTCGAATTCGACGCAGCAGATGTGCATACCATCTACACAGATCGATTTTTCTGTTACTCGACTAAATGCTAGCGTTGAGCTGATAGTCAAATGGTTTGCCGTTTTACTTCAGAATGTAGATTTTAAAAAAGAACCAAAGGATTGTAACCGTTGGGATGTTTACTTTCTCAGGATGGTTTCTTTCTGACACCGGTCTTTTCATGGAGTTAACAATGGGTCTTTGATCTCCATTTTCATGCCATCAACCAGAAAATCCACGAAGCGATGAAAATTTAAATCAGAGTTGAATTCTACAAACTAAGCCGTGGTAAGCATAGGAAGTTACCCTTCGGTCGCTTTCCAACTTATGTGCTGAACTTTAATGATGGGCTAATGTCATACGAAAAAAAGACCTTGTGGAATTCGCCACTAGCCGGAAAGACGCTAAAAGATTAATCAGTGCGTCGCAATATTTCGTAGAGGAAGACTTTACTGGCATGATAAATATGACCATGCCAAAAGAATAGATCACATTAATGCTCCGCATGGTCAGAGTTTGGATCGTAGTACAAATAGGAGCTACAGCCTCTGGCTATGGCAGCTTTATGCTGTCTCGATAGGCGTGCTAGGGCAACACACCTTCGTCCTATTCTGCATATTGGCGAAAGAGGATAGGTAAGTCGAGTGGTGCATTTATAAATGAGGATCAGGGACTCAAACCTAAAGTAGATAGATGAACATCGCTTCCTGACAAAGAAACCAAAGACCAAATGTGGTAGTTGTCACCTAGCTGTAGATAATATCAAGAAGAAAAAGTAAGGTACAAACGGCGATTAGATCCGCACCGTATGCTTCATGAAACAAGTTACATATTACTATGAGTAAACCACAAATATGTAATAAAGACTGATGCCGTAACGACTGCAGATTTACTTTTCCTTTCCCACCGGCAAACAACGTCTAAGAAATTTGAGAACCGATATAATACAAGGAGGCAACTGGAACTACTATTTAAAACCAAAAATGATCAAGGATCATTCAAAAATCATTCCCAGAAAGAGGAAAGAAAAGCATGCCGAAAACTCAAAAGATCTGCAGAACCAGTTTCAACATTATTATCCAAGTTGAAAATCTAACCGAACAGGTTAATTGGCAAATGAGTATTCATTGAAGAAATTTATCTGTACTGAATCTGCTGAAGTCCATATGTTAGCAGGTGCAACTCGGAGTACCTTAGCTCAAATGAGATACCCTGAGGAAAACGGGCATCCAAATTTGCTACCCTTCGTTCAAACACGGACCTATTTTTATTGTCATAACTGCTGCTTATGAGCAATAATCCTCGCCTGAATTTGAATAATATTGAAATTTACACGTATGCGTTCCTTCTGTTGAAAGTCGCCGATATCAAACACCCAGCTGATTTTTACCTGAATAATGCGTTCAGTTAATCGCTGCCTTGACTAGGGTAACCCTTAGAATGTCACCGAATAAAAAGCAATATAAAGTGTAAAATAGTTAAATGCAAAGAAGCCAGT